TCTTTCGCTACCTTCCGTAGGAACTTTTGTAGTTTCCTTTCCGTGTCTGCTATTCAACACTGTGTCATCTGTATATCTTATGTTGTTAAGATTGTGGCCGCCAACAACAAATCCCGACAGGACATCTAAATCTCTCGGAATTGCCTCACTGTATAGGTTGAACAATCCGGTGAGAAGACAAATTTGGACTAATGGCCTGATTTTTTAGTTATCAAGTTTCGGTCGTTGTATTATCAAACCTTCTTCAGACGTCTGTCAATCCAGGTAATCTTCAGAGAATTTCGAACTGAACCCTTTATTTAATCTACGAGATAGATTAAATAAAAGGGTCTTCTCGTTCTGCCATCCATATCTAGGGATATCTCATTTAGTTCTTATTCAGTACTTCAGTTATTGCGCAGCCTGTTCCTACCGTATATATTCGAATATAGTCTGTGTTTTTGTGATCATTTTTTATGCAAAAAATAGGGGATCACAATATACGCAGGTAATTTTAGGTTTTTGAAGAGGTTCATCGCACGTGTTTACCTCGCTGAGGTACTGTTTTAACAACGGCACGCATTTTTATACCTATACTGTATATGTTTCAGATCATTTATTTGCTATAAAATATGTCCGGAATTATGTCCATACATTTTCGGTGACTCTGCCCTCACCATAATCATCCTTCAACCTCACTATGGTTGGTTGGAAATCCATTGACAATCCCTTTCTACACTCCCTTTCTACATCCCAGGTCGTCAATATCCAATCCTGAGTCACAGGCTATGGTGTCTGGGAAAGTCAATTTTCGCAAGAAGACACTTCCAGAAGGATGACATCAGAGTAAAGATGAGACGATTTACCTGTCCGCTCGGTGGTAGTGGCCGGCAAACGGTAATCGTTTTTTTGTTTGAGCTTAAAAGAGATTGGTCTCAGTGCTCCGTAAATTATGTTAAGCTTTGCATGGGATCTCAAACTGATGTTCCGGATTTTTCTAAGTAGATTTTTATATGCTCCATCCATGCATATAACCCCTACCATGGTTTCTGCTATCATCTCTAACCTTGATACCCACAAAGCATCAGGACCCGATTGCATCTTTAATAATAGTCATTAAGAAGTGTGCTCCCGAACTAGTTCTCTCTAAACTGTATGGTTATCATCATCCTTTGAACTCTCTATGGTTGGAATTCTATTGACAATCCCTTTCCACACTATTCGGTCCTGTATTGCTGTCCCCAGATCCTCAATCTCCAACCCTGAGTCCCGAGCTATGGTGTCTGTAAAAGTCAAATTTTAGGAAGACACTTCCAGAAGTATGACATAGGATGTGACGATTTTCCTGTTCGGTCGGTGGCAGTAGCCGGCAAACTGTAATCGTTTTTGTTTGAGAGAGATTCGTCTTATTTCTCTGTAAATTGTCAATGAGGTTCCGACCAACCATAGGGAGGTCGAAGGATGATGTAAATTGTGTAAATTGGTAACTTTGGTAACCTTAACGGCACAGGTAAACTCCTTTAGCCAGCCTCCCGTAAGCCTAAATTCTTTTTTTTTTCTCTGTTGCTACATAAACAGCAGAACGTCATTCACTATGTGTGCCGCTTAAAATCTACAAATACATTATATATTTTTTTTTCCTTTCACGAACTTGCGTTTATCGCACGTGTTTACCTCGCTAAGGTACTTTTTTTCCAACGACACGCATTTTTACACCTATACCGTATATGTTTCAGATCATTTATTTGCTATAAAATTATGTCCAATACTGCAATATTTGACTACAGTGGTCTACTAGTATTACTCAGAATCTGGAGTTGCATTATACACAAGCTATATGAAAAAAAAAATCTGGTTTTTCACAAAAAAACAAAACAAAAAAAAAATGAAGTGTCGCACTATACATAAAGTAGGCTTATACATGAGTATATACGGTAAGTCTTTACTAACCGGTCTCCGATCTTTTGAACAGGAGTAGAGGTTTATCCTGTGTTTCCTGTTTCGGATAGGGTTTCCACTTCTTTCATTCTCTTGCACTCCCATTAGCCCCCTTTGCGTCTTAGTGGCATTATCGCCTTACTTATTTATTTATTTATTCCCCACCGATAGGAGTAGATAGATTCTCCCATCATCATGCTCACACTTCTCCCAATCTTTTGAATAGGTATAGAGATTTATCACTTGTTTCCTGTTTAGGATTGTGTTTCCGGTTCCTTCTGAAATCTTTTCACTGTTTTCATTCCCATTTCAAAATGAGCCCTGCATTTAATCCACGGAAGTAGGTTGTTCTCGTTTAGCTGAATATGCCTAGGGCAATGTTTTTCAACCATAATTTCGAACGAAGAGTTAAACTTCCGCATCACACTTAAATTATGATGATCAAAAAAAGAGTAAAAAAAAAAGAAGTATAATTTTGTGATTTATTTATTAACACAAACAAATCAATTTATTATAATTTATAATAAAAAGATAATTAAAATTCTTTAAAAAAAAACATATTTATTTTCTTGTTTATTATAATTTAGCATTTAATGGCATTTATGAGCTTGACGTATTTTTTCTAGAATATCTTAAAGGTCGAATTTTGGACAGGTATACGCTTAAATATTTTTCCAAGATTTCTAGTCGTGATCGATTTTTGTTTTCAATATTGTCTATTGCCGAAAACCTTGTTTCGCACACTTTGGACTTCTTTCGAAAATAATTCAATTAAAAATGTTCGCGGCTTACCATTGCAGTCACGTGCAAAGGTCTGGTAATGCCCGGGGCCAACTCCCTGATTATATGCCCCTAAGACTCAAGTAGTGAGGCCTACTCCGGTCTAGCTTATCAAAAACGGATCCAATCCACAATTCACACCAGCTTGTGGGTCTGTAGGGCGCTTCTACAGCGAAGTTAACAATTTCAAATTTCAAAAACTAAATTTTTATTTCACTCTTTGATTGGATTCCCTCCACCCCGATATGGATGCTCGGACCGTCGCCCCTTCTGCCCCACCGCCTTCTGCACGCTACTGCACCAATGTGTCGCGGTACACCGGTTGAAAAATCACTGTATTATTAAAAGGTTTGCGCATGCGTGATTTTAAATATTTTTCCCTTCTTATCGTTGGACATTACTTTTTATGGATTTAGTAGTCTCTTCATTTTCCAACCATGTAAAAAACAGCTTGTAATAGTCTTCTTATGACGTGTCCCTTCAGGACGGGGATGATCATGGCTCTCCACAACTTCATCAAAAGCTAAATAGCTCTTAGTAACGTTTGTCTTATTTTACCATCTTCCCTACACCTTGTTCTGTTAAAATTTCATTCTTTTTAATATTGTTTATTACAGAGACTTACTTGCTTCATACAAGCTTCGAAAATAATTTAATTAATGACCTTTTAAAAATTTCACGGCACACCTACTGTCATCTCATGGCACATCAGTTGAAAAATCGCAGGTTGAGGCATATCACGTTAGCTTCTTATTTACTATTGTTCAGTAAAAATGAAGTAAAAATATCGCTTGACATGGTCAGCGGAAACAAGAACAATCTGCTCCCGTAGATTAAATAA